TTCTTTCTTTCTTTCTTTCTTTCTTTCTTTCTTTCTTTCTTTCTTTCCTTCCTTCCTTCCTTCCTTCCTTCCTTCCTTCCTTCCTTCCTTCCTTGTTTCTTTCTTTCTTTCCTTCCTTCTTTCTTTTTCTTTCTTCTTTCTTTCTTTCGCTTTCCTTCTCCCTTTCTCTCTTTCCTCCTTTCTCTCCTTCCTTCCTTCCTTCCCTTCCTTCCTTCCTTCTTTCTCCCCCCCCCCCCCCTTTCTTTCTTTCTTTCTCTTTCCCTTCCTCTGGGACCCACCCAATGCCCTGTTCTTCTTGTCTCTAATGGGTCTGTACTTTTAGAAACAAAGGTCAGAAAGGCCCTGTGGCAGGGAGGAAGAGAGTCTGCAAACTGCTTGAAATTAGGAGGAGAAATGGGAGGGTTTGAAAGGGGAAAATATAAACTGGTGTCTAAAAAATTACCTTGCCTCAGTTGTATCTTAGTAATAACAATTACCTGACTTTCTACGTACAGAAATTGACCCTCCCAGAAACCTTCGTCCATCTGCTGTAACGCAGTCTGGTGGCGTATTGACCTGGACACCCCCATCTGCTCAGATCCATGGCTACATTCTGACCTACCAGTTCCCAGACGGCACAGTTAAGGTACGGGGGATTCCTTGTCTTTTCTCCTGGTGCCTTCTCTTCTGGGTGAAGCAACTAACTTGGGCCAATCCGCTCGTTTGCTGGCCTCATGGCAGCTTGCTGATCTTTATTGATCACAATGCTGCTTGTACATCTGCTCCGGGTTATTTTGTCTTCCTTAATAAATGTAAGCTCTATGTTTGTTTCATTTATCACCATATCTAAAGTGCATAGGACAGTGCTTAGCACATGGTAGGTGTTTGATATATATTTATTGAACGAGTTGATTAACCCTTATTTCAAGGGTTATAGCTCCCTTTAGAATCTGAAGGCCAGCAAATTTTCAAAACCTGTCCCAGTGGAAAATTATTGTTCTCCCTCCTTACCAATGAAGAAAGAAGGGAGGAAGGAAAAACAGGAAGGACACTTAGGTTTATTTGTTATCTTAATTAGTGCTTATGACAGCACTGCTAGGAAGATTAGCACTGTTTATAGAGGAAGTAAGACTGGTTCAGAAGGAAGTTTATTGAAATACCAACTATCTCCTTGTCTCAGATATCAGTGGTCAGTTTCACCTCCCCTATTAATTTCTTCTTAGCCTGGCATTGCCAGCCTATTGCTGCCAGCGATGGCTGTAGTTAGAGCCCCTGTGTGTATCTGAAGGCCAAAGTCTCCCAGAAACTTGGCCAGTAATCCTGAAGCTGCAGTCCTGGGTACTGGCTCTCAGCTGATGCTCTCAGTGGTGCTGACTCTCCATGGCATGGCTCTCCAGAGAAGTGGCTGGGACCCACTGTGATTCTGGGCTGCCACTGAGGCTTCAGAGAGACAAAAGACTGTGCCCTCAGAGAGCTTCTGTCATGAGTACCCGGGAATGCTGTTGACACCTAGGGTGCTAGTGGGTGATAAACTGAGTCACTAGCTGTCTACTATCTGCCTTGTTTGGTAGGAGATGCAGCTGGGACGAGAAGACCAGAGGTTTGAGTTGCAAGGCCTGGAGCAAGGTGCCACCTACCCTGTCTCCCTTGTTGCCTTTAAGGGTGGTCTCCGGAGCAGAAATGTATCCACCACCCTCTCCACAGGTAATGTGGAATCCTGTGCTCTGAACGACCATGCAGTGAGGACCGGCATTGGAGAGGCTAGCAAAGCAGTCCAGGGAGGAGCAAGTGGATGCAGAACTATTGATTTCTCTAGGCATGGGGAAGTGGAAATGGAGTTATGTGTTCAAAAGAAATCCATCCCACAATGGGGAGGCTAAAGAGAGGAGTGAAAGAGAGTGTTATTTTGTGGGGCAGTTGAGTTGGGGGAGGAGGTGATATGAACTTGACTTTTTCCTGGTACATTTGGGGAGTTGAAGAGAAAAATAAGATATGAGTGAAGATAAGATATATGAAGAGTTGGAAGAAGCTAAAGTAGGAAGTTACAAATTGATTTCCAAACAAAATAAGTTGCCTTAACATAGGGATAAACTCCACCTCTTTCTTCCTTGCCCTGCTCCTAACAATACTCTCTCTGCTTGGCTCCCAGTTGGTGCCCGTTTCCCACACCCTTCGGACTGCAGTCAGGTTCAGCAGAACAGCAATGCCGCCAGTGGTCTGTACACCATCTACCTGCACGGCGATGCCAGCCGGCCCCTGCAGGTGTACTGCGACATGGACACGGATGGAGGTGGCTGGATTGTGAGTCACGCAGAACCCTGGGGAGCTCTGCGTAGGGCCTTGCTTCTCAGCCCAGGATGCCGGTCATGGATGCTCCACAGAGTGTTTGGAGCCCTATTTCTTCTCCACCCATGGAAGAGAGGAGTTTTGGTGGCTTGTTGCTGTTTTTAGAGAGATCCCAATGTTACAGGAAAGCAATCCCTATCCAGATCCCAAGAGAAGGTTCTTGGATCTCATGCAAGAAAGAATTTGGGGCGAGTCCACAGTGCAAAGCAAAAGCAGGTTTATTAAGAAAGTAAAGTGGTGAAAGTACAGCTACTCCATAGACAGAGTAGGGCGTTTCTGAAAGTAAGGAGGAATGCATGCACCCTAGGTACAATATTTGTTTATATATAGGATAAAAAAAGATCTTGAGGAGATGTGCTCTGTTTCAAGGGTTTGTGTTTGTGATAGAGGATTAATTTTCTTAATTACTGTATTTTGCAAGAATCAATATTATTATATTTAAAGCAAAATTAGGAGTGCTTCTGTTCTCAAGATATCAGGATATCAGGACATTCCTAAGTCTGGGTCTGTTTAGTAAACACTGTCAATCTGTTCCCTTAACCATAAACATCTGGAGGCTCGGAATACCTAACTTTCTGGGAATGCAGCCCAGCAAGTCCCAGCCCCATTGTCTTAGCACTCACTCAAGATGGCTCTGGTTCAAATGCCTCTGATACCAACCCACTGTAAGGATAGAGCCTAGTACTCATTCCCTGTCCTAGAACAAGCTTGGTTAGACTAAGGCTGAAGACTATGAAGGCTTGTGGGTTGATCATCATCTAGTAATGCCTTATATGTATGTATTACCTATATTTTACCTTCTTCAAAGCACTTTGAACACATGACCCTCACACAACAGCTTTAGAGTAAGTGAGAGAGGATTGTTTTTCCTATTTTACAGATAGGGACAGTGAGGCCCACAGAAAGAAGTGCTTGACCTAAGTCATACAAGAATGACAAAGCTGGGACCAGATTTCAAGACTCCAGCCTCCTAACTCATTGGTCTTCTCAGTGAGTTCATCTCAGGTCATCCAGAATGCAAATGCATAGCCTGTCTGGGAAGTTCAGTCCTCTGAACTGGAGTCTGTTGTCCAAGTTCTGTACCCTGGCTCCACAGTACAGTAACAAGGCCTTTGAGGTTTTGATTAGAAAGACTAAAGCCTGAAAGACGGAAACTTGGGCAGTGCTCTAATTGTCCCTCTTCTGTGTAGACGTTTTATTCTCTCGGGCCATTGTCTGCCTAAACCACATGGCAGCTTCTTTGATTGCAGCAGCCTGATCCAATTATATGATGAGCTGCTTTTGAGGGTTGCAATCTGATCTTTCCATCTCCCCTTGCCCCCTTTCTTCCTGTGCCTGAATGATAAAGACTCTCACTGCTCCAAGCTACAATGCAGCCTTAACCTGCTGTGCCTCCGCAAGTCACTGTGGGAAAGAGAGAGCATGATCTCATAGTGCTCAAACCTTACTCATTTACACATTCACTCAGGGGCCTGGGAAACCAAAGACACTTGAGCAGACATGAATAAAAAGATACCATCTGATGAGCAGCAATGAAGAAAACTTATTATTTGCACAGCAGCATCTGATGGTTGAAAGGCAGTAATTGGATTGGTTGGGGGAAATTCTTGATTGATGTAAAAAACAACAGAACAGAATGTAACATGGGAGGTCCTCTACCCGACCAGACCCATGGGGCTGTACCTGCTGCTTTTCATCAGCACCATTGTAAGGCTAAGCATTCTGTCCCTTCAGGCCTGCAGCCCAATTTCCTGCCTTTGTGGCCATAATTGACCTTTGGCAGGATGTTTGTATTGTCTAGTGTGGCCTTTTTGTAAGCCAAGCTCCCACAGAGAAAGAGGCGTTTATCTGGGGCAACATTTAGAAAGAGATCTGTCAGTCTGTCTGCCCTGGAATAGTCATGACTTATTGCACAAATATTTATTGAGTGCCTACTGTGTGTCAGGCACTGTTTCATGTACTCAAGATCCAGCAGTGAACCAAACCAATGGAAATCCCTGCCCCCAAGCAGCTTGCCATTTATATCCTGCTCATGGAAATGACCCCTCCTCAAACACAGAGATTGGTTCCAAAAATAATAAAACCACTGTGCATTCTGACCCTCCCCAGCCCCAACCCCACCCCAAGTCTTGTTTTCTGAGCCAGATTCCTGGGGGTCATGCATGAACTGAGGTTCTGCAGGGTTTTACTTAAAGGCACCATGCTCCAGAAAACACGGAGTCCTGAAAACTTCCCCACAAAACATTTTACTCACAGTTGTCATAGTTTTTTGGGGGGAGTTCAAGAGTCCTTTGTCACTGAAGGATGACCCATAGTCAGTTTCTCTGTTTTATTGAGCTTTTAAAATCCTTTTATGGTAATTCTTCCATCCCAAGCAGCAGGAACTCAATTTGAAGAACAGGCCAGAAGAACTGTGCCCTGAGGTAAACTCTGCCGCTGGTGGGAGGCTGGAAAGAACATCAGGGAACACTTAATGTCTCAAATATTTCCATCTTTGTTTTCCATCTTGAAAGTCTTAAGGGCTGCATTAGAGGCTCTTTCCACAGACATTTCAGTGCAAGTTTGACCTTTTTTCTCTGTATTTAGTCATTCAGGGCATTGAATAAGTTCTAAAATGCAATGACCACTCTAGTATAGAACCAGACATAAAGAGGTTTTTTTTTCCCCCTTTGAAACTTACTTGGTCAGGGGGTTTTATGATACCCTAATAGTTCATTATAGGGTGTTTTCATCTCATCAAATGAGAGTGCCTTAGATTCTGAGTGAGTCAGTTAAGGCTGCCTGATCCAGATGCATCAGTGGTCCCTGTGGGTCCGTTCATTTGGAAACGGATATAATAAAATGCAAACCAACATTTATTGAGAGATCATAACAACTTCTTATATCTCTATGTGCCGCGGTCTGGCTTAACTACTTTATGATTTACTATGATTAATGACCTTGCTGAAGCCTTGATTTAAGCTTGTGACTGAGAGGCTGTTAACATGTTAATCTAACAGTTTGGAAAACTGAGGCTTGTCAAGGTTGCCCAGGCACACAGCTAGTAAGTATAGAGCTGATTCTGGTTCAAAACAGTGATGCAAAGAGCACCAGAATCATTTTTGGAAGCTTCCCTGGCCCAGATGAAGTATTGTTACACACACACACACACACACACACCCCGCTGGAAAGGTTCTATCAAGCTTGGGCACTGGGTCCATTGATTGGAGATAGAGACCAAATACCTTTGTAATGCATCCTAGGAAGGAAGGGCTGGATTTGAGCCTGACCTTGTGGTGGGAACGTGATTTGACCCGACGTATGTGGAGCCATACATCAGTGCTACATCTGTCCTAAATTTCCACTGTCCATGGTACAAGTCTCAAGGAAGGGGTGGGATCAGGCACCTTGTTAGGAAATTAGCAAGTTCTCAGAGTCTTTGGAAATGCTATTTGCGAAACAGATTCAGTAGGGCTGGTATTTTCAAACTTTCTGACAGAAAGATAAGGTTTATGCGTGGTCTCTGTATCAGTGATTAGCTGTAGCACTCTGGATACTCGCTTTTCTGGACTTTCACATCGTCAAATGGCATCATAAATACTTGCTCCAGGGCCAGCACTCAACAGATGCTCACGAAATGATTGTCATCTAAGTGAATAAATGAGTGAAAAAAAAGTGAGGGAAGCCAAGAAGGAAACAGGGCACCTTTAAAAGATGGATCCTTGAGCAAAGGGGAAAGAGAGCAACAATGTTAACGCAGTGTTAACTGTTTGTCGTGATCTTTCCTATATTCTGTTTGGCAGCTCTTGCCCATTTATAGAACATTTTATGTGGTGTCTCATTTAGTTCTCCCAGCAGTCTTATGAGGTAGGCTCTTCTCTTCCCTTCCATTCCTGTTTTACCATGAGCTGGCCGAGGCTCAGGAATAGAAGAGGCTGCCTCAGCAATCCCCACCCGTCCCCTGCCCAGGAAGTGGCTGTGGTCTGACTTGGAGCCTGGAGCCTTCTGCATCCATGGTGCCCCACTCCTTGGCCAGCAGACTTGGATGGGTGCTTTGGAAGGAGTTAAATATGAATTCCCATGTGGAGTTTTCAGCATTGCTGCAGGGTAACCTACTGTCTCCTCCCTCCCTTTCTCTTTCCGGAGAAAAATATAAAGAATGCACAAATGTCAGGCGGTTTACCTTATAAATTCAAGATAATGTGTTTTACTTCAAGGCACATGCTGTGAAGTCTAGTGGAAAGGAGGGAGATTAGATTTTGTGTTGGGGCTTCTGCATCTGAATGAATGCAAAGAAAAATAGGCAGAGAGAGAAATGCAATTCTAGCCTTTGGTTAGTGGGAATCATTCCTGAGGTTAGCTAGGATGGCGTTCAACTTGGTTCTCAAGGTCATGTGGAATTAGATGTGTTATCAATTTCAGTAGTGTACACAGGTGTGTGTAGGTACTTTTCAGATTTACTTCCTATAAAAGAACCCAATTTACTGTGACTGGAACAGTGCCTTCCTTCTCCAAACAGAGGAATTTTTGAAAAGAAAGCAGTCCACGCTTTGGTGAATGGTACCCAACTCTGCCTCCATTTTCTTGCTTCTCACTCATTCTTTGGTCCATTCCAGTTTGGCTTCTGTCCATATCTCACACTGACACAGCCCTAGGTAAAATCACCAGTGATTTCTGTGCCACTAAATTCTAGGGATGGTTTTGACCTCCTGTTCCTTGACCTCTCATCAGTACTTGACACTACTGACCACACCTTTCTCTTTGTGACTTTTGTGATTCCATATTTTTCTAGTTTCTTTTTCTCCACTTCTGTTGCCCCTTCTCTTTCCTTGATGGATTTGTCCTTCTTCGTTATACATACTGGATGTCCTCAAGGCTTGATTCTAGGCCACTTTATCTTTTCAGTTCCCATTTTCTTCCTACGTGGTCTCATCTTTTCCCATGACTTCATTTTACCCTCCTCTGGTCCCATGCTTCTCTGCACTAACTAGGATAGAATGGGGTATGCTGCAGTAACAAACCAACTCTAAATTCCAGCAATTGAACAAACACAATGTATTTTTCTCATGTGTGCAATGTGTTGTGCAGGTTTGGCAGCCAGTTACAAGTGTGACTCATGGATTCAGGCTGTTTCCATCTCATAGTTCTGCTGTTTCAGTGTGTGGCCTTTCCCATGGCCCTGTGGTGCATGGCAGTAGAAGAGAGAGTGTGGAGAACCCACCCACACACAAAAGGCTCCCACCTACAGCCTTTTGGCTGCAAATAGTCACATGGCTCCAACTTCAATGCAAGGGAAGCTGTAAATGGACATCCTCTTGTGTTCCTGGGAAGAAGAAAGTGAACTGGGACTCGGTGAACTCCTAGCATTGCCTGAGACACACTCTACCTTAATAAGTCTAGCCTAGACCTCTCTTTAGAACTCTAGCCCTTACATCCAATTGCTCTGTGATATTTTCATTCACCAGCATACCTCAGAAATAACTCACACTTACCACATCCCCAAGTGAGCTCATGACCCACTCATAAAATCTGTACTCGGCCAGGCACGGTGGCTCACACTTTCACTTTGGGAGGCCGAGGTGTGTGGATCATGAAGTCAGGAGTTCAAGACCAGCCTGGCCAATATGGTGAAACCCTGTCACTACTAAAAATACAACAAGTAGCTGGGCATGATGGTGTGTGCCTGTAATCCCAGCTACTCGGGAGGCTGAGGCAGGAGAGTCACTTGAACCTGGGAGGTGGAGGTTGCAGTGAGCCAAGATCACACCACTACACTCCAGCCTGGGCAATGAAGTGAGACTCCACCTCAAAAAACAAACAAACAACAACAACAATAAAAACCCCAAAAACTACAACCTGTCCTCTCTGAATCCCCCATCTCAGTGAATAGCTGAGGGAAGAGTCATCTGCAAGCCCAAACTATAAGAAACTTATCTTACCTTGACTTCCTCCTCTATCAGTTCCACATTCTGTCACCAGCCCTGTCAACTTCACCTTCTATCCACTTCCGTCTATCCTCAGGGCATCCCTCATCCAAGCTACTGTCCCCCTTCATCTGCACTCTACAGTGGTCTCCTAACTAGTCATCTCACTTCCACTCTTACCGCTGACCAGTCCATTCCATGCACTATAGCTAGAGATGAATCTGATCGGATCTCATTTCCTGCTTAAAACTCTGCAATAATTTCCATCGTTCTTACCTGGACCAATGTCTTCAACAATCTCTTTTAAAAGGTTACCAGGACTGACTCTTCTCAGCCTCCCTTTCCATCCCCTCCTCAGCCCCCAGCAGCCCCAACATTGCTCCCCGTGCTCTTGCCTGACCACTCCTACTCATCCTGCAGCTCAGCCATGTCCTGGGGGTGGTTTCTTGGCTCCTTGGTCAGGTCCTCCTGTTTTACGCTCTTGCAGTTCTGTTGCATCTTTCCCTCATAGCCCTTATTACAGTTTTAACTGCATTTAAAAAATTATTTAATTTAGTAATTGTATTTACTGAACTATTAGCTCCAGGAGGGAAACGACCATTTCTGATTTATTCACTTTGCACACTATCTTGTATATTGCCTAGTGCATAGTAGATGCTCAGTAAATACTTGTTGTGTGAACTTTTTTCTCCATAAGTATTAAATAATCGCTATGCTAAGAATCAGGTGAATTAAAAAATAATTTCTACTCTCAAACTATTTGAGAAAAGGGGAAAAAAGATGCTATAAATGTGATGTGCCCCAATTGAGTTAAATGGGTGTTGAAAGTTACATGTGAGAATTGGCAGAGGTCTGGAATATCTTGCCCTAGACAATCCACACTAGCAACTGAATCACACAGATAATGGAAAGAGCTGAAATTTCTTGAGGGCAGGAAGCTTCTCTGCTTTTGCTCTACACGCCTTAGTACCTGACATACTACTGTACATATAAATAATGCTTATTAATATAGTGAATCTACTGACATATAAATAAAAAGCCTCTCTAAAAAGAAAGACATGCTAGCTGGAGGAAGGCAGTGTATGAGCAAGTTCTTGGTTTTCTCTTGTCTCCCAGCACCTATATCTGTTTGGAGGGTCAGAGTGAAGTGTTCATCTCCCTTCTCAGGTCTTCCAGAGGCGGAACACTGGGCAGCTGGATTTCTTCAAGCGATGGAGGACCTATGTGGAAGGCTTTGGGGACCCCACGAAGGAGTTCTGGCTTGGTATGATCTCAGAATCCAGGAGGCTGGGGCTGTGGGGGGTGATTTCTCCCAGGACAAGCTAGCTAGGAGGCTTAGGGAAGCTCACCACCTTCACAGAGAGGCCCCAGTGGCAGGGAGACAGAGGACTGTGCCGAGCAGGGTCTTGGTGGGCGTGCTGATGGGAAGGCTCTCCTGTACTCTGAACTTGTTGAAAGGTAGGGTGGTCACAGGGGTTTTATGCTGATTTAAGCTCTGCAGGATCTGCCTGCAGCCTGAAGATCTTAGAAGGCACAGTAGTAGAAAAAAAGTTCAGGGATTGGGATGCTGGGTCATTACTGGAAGGTCACTCTAACAGTCTCTAAAATTCTGGTGGTGATGCCAGGCATTATGGGCAATGTTTTCCCCCTTTTCCCTCTGCTCTCCTCTGGAGCAGATGTTCACAGAGAGGGAAATAGCCAAAAGCATGAATTGGGAAATGAAGAATTAAAAAGTCATGATTCAGATACCCAGTGTCTAATAGAGTAGATGATGTTGTGGTTTGTTCAGTATAAAATCTCTTCGGGGATCTTAGGATGAGTCATTGACCCATCCTCCTGCTTGGTGAGATAAATGGATGATAAATACAACTGCTTCTGTTTTAGAGGGATGGAGCCAATGGAGGCAGATTCCTTCTGGGGTTACCCTGACCCCTCACTGCTCCCTTCCATAGAACATGGTCTCCACACTTCTTAGCATGACTATGAGTCCCCGAAAGAGAAAGTGCTGAGACTGCCCCTTATTAGCAGAGAAAGTAAAGACTAAAGTGACTTTAGGTCCTGAAAGCCTCAGACACACATGTTGAGTACTCAGTCGCACACATGGGTGGATTGGGTATTGGAATTCCGTTTTTTATTTTTAGGACTTGACAAGCTACACAACCTCACCACCGGCACTCCAACGCGGTATGAGGTGAGAGTGGATTTACAGACTGCCAATGAATCCGCCTATGCTATATATGATTTCTTCCAAGTGGCCTCCAGCAAGGAGCGGTATAAGCTGACAGTTGGGAAATACAGAGGCACAGCGGGTGAGAAAAAATGTTTTCTTGCTGCAAAGGTCTCTTGCTGTCTGTTGTATAAGGATTGGTTTGCTGTATGCCACTGATCTGGGGGATGGAATATTATTCTGTGGAGGTGAATTGTTCTCATTGACAGTGGAGGCCCTACTGTCTGCAGGGGGCCAGGAGTGAGCAAGTAGTTAAAGCAATCCTTGACCACCATAAAATTGGAAATTGTATATGTTATATGTCACAACCCCCCAACCCGCCCAGTAAAAACGCTCCTCTTGTGCTCCGCTTATTCGGGCTGTTGTACATTAGCTGATGAGCCCATATTCTGGACAATTTATTGATGCTTGTCAGTCTTTCATTCAGCTTGAGCAGTGTGGCTGTCATCTTTGCACAGTAGTGTGTGTGTGTGTGTGTGTGTGTGTGATTATTTGAGCCTTTGGTGGCACTTTGCTATAAAAACAGAACAATGAAAGTGCTGATTCAAATAAGTATGGGTCTCATTAACTTAATTCAACTGTGACAACACAGAAATGAGCAGTTCAGTGGAAAGTGGGAGAACCTTTATCCTCTAGTAGCTAAGCCAGTTGCTGGTGTGTTTGGTTGTGAAGAAAAAGAACAAAATTAAGCAACATGACTGAAATGCTGGAATGATACCAGTAAATTAAATATTTTGTGTAAGAGGGGAGGTGTGGTTATTGTTTTAATACTAATATTTTAAAAGCTGTATTTATGGTTTTTAAACCCTAACAAGTAAGCCTGTGTTTTGACATTTGCATGTTTTTGACTTTGGTGTATTTATATAGGAATGTGTTACCAGCCAGATTGACTCACTGTATAAGACATGGCGGTCTCTCTCCTTAGACTTAAATGTAGATAGGTGAAAACAAAAGAAGGTAACTTTTGCAGACAGTCACATAAGGGGTAAGAAACATAAAGAGCTACAGGAGTGTGGAGAAGGTGGGCACACGGAGGATGAAGCAACTGGAGGGAGTTGGATCTGCAAAACGGAGGAAACTCGAGTGGGAGGAAAGAGAGGGCTCTCCAGGCCTGGGGGCTTCGGGGTGAGTGGGGACTGAGTGGAGAAAAGAACGCTGGAGTTTATCTCACAGCCTTGCTGGACTTCTCAAGATTGTCTACTCAAGGAGCCCTGATGGCAGAAGACCGTGAACAGAACTTCTGAGTGTCTGGGGCCATGATCTGGGGTGGCCAACTGTGAATGCAAACCTTTCTTTGAGATCTTATAATTTCATTTAAACAATAGTCAAATGAATTTTGCATTTGTTCTTACTTCCCAGGGCCTATCTCAGAGCCTGGTACAGAGTAGGAGAGTTAAAAAATGAAATTGCTAGCAGGACTTTTCTATATACATAATCTTATGGATGTTTAGTATCTTACATAATAGGCCCTGAGACCCAAATAAGTTCCATAGGGGTGAATGAGTTTGGTGACATGGGAGGAGACAAAGAGGGAGGGGTAGGCACCTACCAGAGTATGAGGCATTTTGGCTACAGACATGAGGAAACTGTTCCAGGATTCTGAGTAGGGGCTGGGTGAGAAAAAGTATGCAAAAAATTATTTCAAGGAAAAGACAATCCTTGAAAAAAAAGCATTGCAGCTAGAAGATCCCTGCTGCCTTTGGATACTGTCACTTCTTTCCTCAGTAGTCCTAGGTCTCCACGGGCTGGAGACAGGCTGTGCTACGTGCACTTGAAGTATAACATAGTCATGCGTTGCTTAACGACAGGGATACGTTCTGAGAACTGCATTGTTAGGCATTTCATCATTGTGCAAACATGGAATTCACTTACACAAACCTAGATGGCAGAGCCTGCTATAGACCTAGGTATATGGAGTAGCCTATTGCTACTAGGCTACAAACCTGTATGGCATATTACTAAATATTGTAGGCAATACACCATGGTAAGTACTTATGGATCTAAATATATGTAAACATAGAAAAGGCACAGTGAGAATATGGTATAAAAAATAAAAAATGGTCAGTCTGTACAGAGTACTTACCATGAATGGAGCTTGCAGGACTGGAAGCTGCTCTGGGTGAGTCAGTGAGTGGTGAGCGAATGTGAAGGCCCAGGACATGACTGTACACTCCTGTCGAATTTAGAAACACTGCCCATAGGCTACACTAAATTTATTTAAAAATGTTCTTTCTTCGTTAGTAAAAACTAACCTTAGCTTATTGTAACTGTTTTACTTTATAAACTTTAACATGTTTTTCAATTTTTTGACTCTTTTGGAGTAACACTTTGCTTAAAACACAAGCACATTGTACAGCTGTACAAAAATATTTTTCTTTATATTCGTATTCTGTAAGTTTTTTTCTATTTAAACATTTTTTACTTTTATTTTTTACTTTTTAAACCTTTGTGTTAAAAACTAAAACACAAACACACACATTAGCCTAGGCCTGCACGGGGTCAGGATCATCAATTTCACTGTTTTCCACCTCCACATCTTGTCCCGCTGGAAGGTCTTCAGGGGCAATAGCACACATGGAGCTGTCATCTCCTGTGATAACAATGCCTTCTTCTGGAATATGTCCCAAAGGACCTGTGTGAGACTGTTTTACAGGATTTTTTTTTTTTGATAAGTAGTCATACGCTCTAAAATAACAATAAAAAGTATAGTATTATTCACATAAACCAGTAACATAATTGTTTTATCATTATCAAGTATTATTTACTGTATGTAATTATATGTGCAAGACTTTTGTATGACTGGTAGGTTTGTTTACACCAACATCACCACAAACACATGAGTGATGCATTGGTCTGCGACCTTACGACAGCTGTGATGTCACTGGGTAATTTTCAGGTTTATTGCGATCTTATGGGACCACTGTCGTATATGCAGCCCCTTGTTAACTGAAATGTTCTTATGCAGGGCATGACTGTATAAAACATGAAAGTCAGGTATAGAAAAAGACAGTTATAATACAATTGGAAAACATAGATGGACATTCATATGATTATGAGGATATTAACTGAATGAGAGGGGATTTAAAGATGCTCTTTTGTATGACTAAGCACACTGCCCATATGCTCCCACCCCATCTCTAAATGAGATCAGACTATGTTCCTGACAGCTTATTCCAGGTTCTTCCAACCCTTTGGTATAACAGAGTACACACATTCCAGTCTGTCCCAGGACCCTTGGGCCTCTTCAGTCCGCATGGAGTCCATCTGATCATTTCTTTGGTTTCCAGTACCCTGTTGTCTGCTCTTCATCATGGCCATCAGTTAGCCTCAGCCTTTCCTTCTTGGGTTAAAGAAGTCTACGTAAGCTCCGAGTGTGGGACCTTCCCTGTACAAAATATGAAGTTGGGTGTTTTTCTTTGGCCCCCGTGCCCCACGTCTCTCCCTGAAACCCAGTGCCCTCCCTAGCCTCCTGGTCATGAACCTCACTCAGGTCTGTCCTCCAGGCTGCATATTTCCTTTCCCTTGGCCATTACCATTTGCCTTTTCTGAAGCCTGTGCTAAAATGATCCAGCAAATGAACTGATGCCAATGGGAAAGAGACTGAAAGGGAGTCAACATGCTTGGGAATTATTTTAATTCTCCTCCCAGGTATTCTGTTTGCATGTTACCTGCAATGAAGGGATAATTCCTGTTCTAAGGTTATTCAGGTCAACAGTGCCAGCCAGTAGAGGATGTATTTTTTAATAGAATTTATTTTTTAATAGGAGACTTTCACACAGCATTTAGGCAGCGATCTAGTCTTCCCATATGTACTATCATTCCCGCTTTTAAATTCTGAATTACAATGGTAGCATTAGTGGAGTCTTAACATTCCTTATGTATGCTGATCGTCCGTGAGGAGGGTTTCAGAATTTAGAAAGCTCCTGGCTACCCATGTCTTGAGTGCTGAGGCACTGTTTAGAGGACATGGCATTCAAATGAAAGGTGAACATTTTGATACCTCCCTGCACGCACCAGCTCTCCCCAGCCTCTATCATCATTTTAGCTCTGATTAGAACTGACATGCATGCAGCCTGGCAGGAATGTGTGGCTTAAGGCTGAGACTGTCCAGGTGGGCCCTCAACTTTTGACTTCCACTCAAGTCTTATCAGAAAGCCCATTTTCCCTTCATGAAGCAAATTCCAGCAAGGAAATGATGTGTAAATTTAGTTTCTGATTCTGAGTCTTTGAGTGGGGGCAGGGAGCATCTTATGAGCTCCACCTTTAAGATGCTATTCATCTATTTAGAAATCATAATGAAAACATAAAGAGCTAGGCATTCAGAATGGTGCAGAATGAATTCTAGGGCTAACCAATTATTTACAGCTGATTTCAAGTCCCACCTGCATGGGCTACAGTGGCAGCACAACCAGGGATGGGTCCCACGCTGGGGGCACTTGGAAATGTGACTGGGGAGCTCTGGAAACATTTAGTGGGTTGGGGCCAGGGATGGATTTTTAAATGCTGGCACTTGGAAAAAAAATAATAATGGGTACATGGACAAAAGGGAAAGCTAGAAATGGTACAAATCATTTGTAATCATCCATTCTTAATCCTGAAATAAAAGACATTCAAGGTTCAGACACACAGTACTGTGTGTGTGTGTGACTGACAGAGGATGTGATGTTAATGGCTTCTCCTGATCTTTGAAGGTGCAGCTGCCTGGGCCATCTTTCCCATCATGGTGAATCCTAGAGGGGGAGAGTGGGTCTCAGAGGGATATTTTGATGAGATGGATGGTGACCAGCTTGATCCCCTCTGAGTTTTGGTGCAGACCCTTCATGGGCCTGCCACGAACCCCTCCAGTTCTCATTCTCACTCTCTACACGCTGAACATTAGGATGGCTTCAGTTTCTAGAAGGTAGAAAATCCTTCTGCAGAAAAAGACCTCCCACATTTGGGTGAACACCTGCTTTACATTTCTTTATCCCAGTGCCCAGGTTTAGATAATCACAAACATGTCTTTAAGGGAGCCTCTGCACAGATTCTTAGAAAGCGGCCCTGGGAACCTTCTATGTAAATTAGGTAAGCTGTGCTCATTTAAAGAAGGTTACTAAGGGAGACACTGCACGTTATTTCAAGCTGTGGTTAACTTTCTGTACGAAGTCTGGAGGGAGGAGGAAATGTGTATGACTGGCATGACAATATAACTTTCTTGGATTGGAGAAAACTACTGGAGACAGACCCACCTGCTGTGTCTGCGTGGAAGTGGCCTCTGTGGCCCGGGAATTCTCATGCTTTTTCCAGGTGAGGTATAAATGAGCTGCTGGTGAGATTGCAGACTTGGAGGGGCAAATTAGGACCTTGCCTTTTAACATATACTACCAACTCTGCATATTCACCCAACTCACTCCAAAAACGTTTTTGAGAGCAAGGACCTCCTCATTTTTGTGTTCACAGAGCCAAGCGTGTGCTGCTCCATAGCAGGTGTTCAGTAAATGTTCCCTAAAATCAAATGAGTGAAGTTGTAGAACGGGTTCTCACACTGTACTGCATCAGATCATCTGAAGGCGTAGATTGCCAGGGCCCACCCTGTAGTTTCCTGTTCTGTAGGTCCGGGCTGGGGCCAAATAATTTGCATTTTTCTTTTCTTTTCTCCTTCCTTTTTTTTTTTTTCTTTTTTTGAGATGGAGTCCCGCTCTGTCACCCAGGCCGGAGTGTGGTGGCATGGTCTCGGCTCACTGCAACCTCCACCTCCCAGGTTCAAGTGATTCTTCTGCCTCAGCCTCCAGAGTAGCTGGGACTACAGGCGTGCACCACCACACCTGGCTAATTTTTGTATTTTTAGTAGAGACAGGGTTTCACCATATTGGCCAGGCTGGTCTCCAACTCCTGACCTTGTGATGGGCCTGCCTCCGCCTTGCAGGGATTACAAAGTGCTGGGATTACAGGTGTGAGTCACTGCACCTGGCCAATTTGCATTTCTAACACGTTCCCAGGGGATGTGGACACTGCTGGTCTGGGAACCCCACTTGAAGAACCATTGATAGATGAAGCCCCCCATTGAAACAAGGAAGCCATAGGTGGATTGGTGTATCAGAAAGAACCCCGGACTTGGAATCTCAGGACAGAGATTTGAGTCCCAGCTCTGCTGTTTGTGGACTGTGGGACCTTAATAAGTTCCTAGAGTCAAACCTTTTTGAATTTGTTTCCTCATGGGACCAAGAGCTGCCCTGCCCACCTCACAGGTTTGCTGTGAGAGTGAAATAAGAATGCACATGTGAAGAAGATTGTAAACTCAGAGCTGAGATATAAATGTAAGAATCCTTATTGCAGGAACAAAGCTTGATGAAGCTTGTGATTGATATGGGCCCTTATTTCCTTTTATGAGCAGGAAAAGAAAGTCTATAAAAGGATGACAAATATGGTAGGGAAACAGGAGATACACAAGCAAAATAATTAAGGCAGTTTTCCAGATGGGATGTAAGGAAGGACTGAATTTTACATGTGTCTCCAGAAGGACTCTGGAAGTTCAGGGATGTTTGTGTGTAGGGGTGTGTGTGTGCGTGTGTGTGTGCATGTGCGTGTGTTTGTGTGTGTGTTAGGAGGGTGCATGGGAGGACCAATAAGGAGAATCTTCCTTACAAGTGGGCCTGAGCTAGGCTTTGAAGGATGGTTAGGATTATTTGGACAGATGAGGGCAGAGAGAAATCCCCTGGATGGTGGGCTGGGCCACACTGGAGGGTGCGTGGTGGAGATGGTGGGATGCAAGATTGTGCACAGGGCACAGCCAATCTACAGGCCTGCAAGGCACGGAACAGGAATTCACCTCCTTGTGGTACGAAGTAGACTGTTGGGCCTGAGGTGATGAAAATGGACGTCTAAACTCCAGAGGGGCTGGCAGGCAAGAAGCCAGAGAGAAGGCTGTTTTGTTAACACAGACCCAGGATGAGAGAAGGCCGAGGGTGGGTGTCATGGGAGCAGAGACGTAGGGGTGTATGTGAGTGATCTGCAGGAGGGAGGGTTTGAGAAAGGGTATGAAGGGATTATCAAACATGGCTCCACGTTCCAGGTCTGGGTGGTGGGGAGAGGAGTGGACCCGAGGCAGACGGGGGAGAGTGGAGAGTGGTGCTCTTGTGTGTGGCGTGGTCAGGGACTTGGGGAGAGTTGTTATGTTTGGATGTTTGATCTGACTATGGAGCTTCCAAGTGAAAATGCTATGAGGACTGTTGGAGAAACAGGCCTGAAGTTGGGGTACAGGCCAGGAAAAAGAGCCTGTTCACATGTGTCATGTTCCCATTTGGGCTGTGAGAGAGCAGTGATTACCTGTGACATGACTGGCTGCATCCTTGGCATTTTCATGCCTGGAGATCTTCCTGCTGGGTCCTCTTTTGATCATCTCCTTGGTGGCTAACCCTGGGCTCTCACCTCTGTCTCTTCTCTCCTGCAGGGGATGCTCTTACTTACCACAATGGATGGAAGTTTACAACTTTCGACAGAGACAACGATATTGCACTCAGCAACTGTGCCCTGACACATCATGGTGGCTGGTGGTATAAGAACTGCCACTTGGCCAACCCCAATGGCAGATATGGGGAGACCAAGCACAGTGAGGTAGGTGACAAGTGAATGTCTTTTCTCTCCCAGGGTGTGCCCACATTCAGCTTCCAAAGGGACACCCTCCAGGCCAGTCTGGCAGCCCCTCTCCTTTTGAAGCTTCCAGTCAAAACAGTAGAGCTTCTCCTCCAGGCTCCATGGCCTTGAGGTTGTGGCCTCCCCTTCCTGATGGCCATAGCCCTGCTTGTTTTTGCATTCCCAGTGCTGCACACTTGCCTAGGGGCAGGTGCGGGGAAAGCTTGGGCTGCCCACTGCCATGTAATGACAGATGATGTGCTCCACACACTGTCTCATTTCACTAGCTCACACATGGACACCGTCAGCTCCAGCTGCTGTAACAAAATACCACAGACCAGGTGGCTTCAACAACAGACATTTATTTCTCACAGTTCTGGAGGCTGGGAAGTCTAAAGATAGGGTGCTGGCAGATTTGGTTCTTGTTGGTGGACCTTGTTGGCTTGTGGATGGCTGGCTGTGGCTGTGCGTCCTCACATGGTGGACAGAAAGGAGCTCTGATCTCTTCTTCATATAGGGGCATGTGTCCCATCATGGGGGCTCCACCTCATGGTCTCATGTAAACCTTATTACCTCCCAGAGGCCCCCTCTACATACCATCATGTTGGTAGGGGGTGGTTAGGGCTCTACTGCATGAATTTTGAAGAGACGCAAACATTCAGTTTATAACAAACACTGCCTACTTTTTTCTAGTTTTTCTCCTAGTTGAACAAGAGCTATTTCTTTCGGTCAAGCACGGTGGTTCATGCCTGTAATCCCAGCACTCTGGGAGGCTGAGGTGGGCTGATTGCTTGAGCTCAGGAATTTGAGACCAGCCTGGGTATCATCGTGAAACCCCGTCTCTACAAAAGATATAGAAATTAGCTGGGCATCATGGTGTGCACTTGTAGTCCCAGCTTCTAGGGAGGCTGAGGTGGGAAGATCACTTGAGCCTGGGAGGTTGAGACTGCAGTGAGACATGATGAAGCCACTGCACTCTAGCCCGGGTGGCAGAGCAAGACCCAAAAAAAAAAAAAAGCTGTTTGTCTCAAGTCCTTTGATCACCAGGAAAACAGTCTTTTGTGCCTTAGGTCAGACCTACTCTTGGGTCCACTTCACCCAAAGCCTGCTCAGAACATTGAGCTAGACCAGTCTCTCCACATTGGGAGTGTGCACCCAGGGCCCAGGGGTCCAGGAAGGGTCCTCTCCCCACATTGCTCTGAAACTGTCCCACCTGCTTATTTCTCAAGCCTCCTCTGCCCCAGTGCATCATCCTGACTCTTTGACAGCTGTGGGGCACTTCCTGCCTGCTCCCTCACAGTTTCTTGAAAATTGCATCTTTGTCTCTGCTCACAATAATCCTCTCCCCTCCACAAACCCTGAGTCCCCCATCCTAGGTTTCTAATTTCCCATCCACAGCCCTGATCCTAAGCCTCCAGGAAGCCACCTCTTCAGAACTCACCTTGTACCAATATTACTGTAAATATTAGCACATCCAAAGTCCAGGTACATTTTGATTACTTTGGCTCTGACCAGGCTACGGGGACTTCCAATCTTTATGTGATTTTTCAAAGGGAAGAAGAAATTTGCCCCCAGGGAAGCTGGGGAGGGTTGGCCTATGAATCATGGTGGCAGCGTGTGGGCTGGCTCAGGGAAGCCTGGGATAGAAGATCAAATATTGGAAATGAGCAAGCAGGATGCCCTGAACCATCCCATATTTGCTAATAAAAGACATTCATCTGGTTAATGCGCTTTTCACAGTCTGCAAGGCATTTAGCTTCTTGTTTATTATTTACCTCACAAATTAAAATACATAAAATTGGTCACTTGGGCTTTTTATTGGCCAGGTTGCAAGGTTATTAAGTGAATTAAATATTATTGCACTCACCAGTCAAAAGACATAAAATGAAATTTAGTTTTCAGCAGGCTATTTGTTACCCCAGAGCTAGTATCTAAACAGTCTAAATTGAAAATGATTTTACACAATTGGCCAATTAATATGTTTATTTTTGCCTTTAATTTTTTGGAAAGGAAAAGAGGGAAGCAAAGATAATTTGCCCGTTGCCGGCCTGGTTGACCCCTGTGTTGTCTCTGTGGCTGCTGTGGCCTCACCCACCTCCTGGGCTCACACCCCCTTGCTCCCACCATGGAGACCGCCAGCTTCCAAATCGTCCAAGTCCTCAGCCAGTCTAACCCCAGCTGCCCAGCAGAGGGCGCGTGTGTTTGGATCCTGCCCTCCCTTCCTTTCTCATCACCCCAGTCTCTTTCCCCTGAGCAGAGAGGGAGTGGTTTCACTGGTGAATAATTAATTCCTTTGTACCATAACCCACCCTGCCCTCCTCCCAAGAGCCTCTTCTTGATGTGGCTTTATTTATTTATTTATTTATTTATTTATTTAATGTAGGGGGTGAACTGGGAGCCTTGGAAAGGACATGAATTCTCCATTCCTTACGTGGAGTTGAAAATCCGCCCTCATGGCTACAGCAAGGAGCCTGTCCTGGGCAGAAAGAAGCGGACGCTGGGAGGAAGGCTGCGAACGTTCTGATGGCCTGTGTGAGCAGTCCTCGCAGGAGACAACACAGCTGTGGGAGCTTGGGGCGGGGTGGGTAGTGGTGACTGGGGTCTGGGAGTGCTCAGAGCGTCTGGGTTCTGGGATCGCCTGATAGCCCAGAGAACAAATCATGTCACCAAGCTTCAAGCCGTTCAAGGGAGGTTCCTTCCCTCTCACCTGCATTTTTGCCCGTCTTTATGAGGGTCTTGAAAATCAAAACAGTAGTTGCATAGTGTGCGTAGGAAAGGCAGTACTGGAACGGCAAGGTTTCTCACCTTGTCTTCGGCAACAAATATACTGGATTAGGGCAAGAGAAGGAATCACCCAGCACTTCACCAATTAGAAATCTCTGGAAATTTACATCTATGTATTAAAGCTCTGCTAATGCAAATCTTTTCTCTGGAAAGAAGCACAGAGGAGGGGTTCTCATGACCCAAGGGTTAGGGCTGAGGCAACCGGACATTTGTCAACTCCTTTCCCACTAGGTTTTTAGGAAAACAGTGTGAACCTCCCCCTTTTAATTTCTGGTGTTATGAGGAAGAATAAAGGGAATAAAAGGGGCTAAGATGGACTCACGTTTAGCTCAGTTCTGACTAGTATCCAGCATGCTGGAGACCAAAGCTGCCACCTTACTGCTATTTTTAAGCGCCCTCTTTTCAGTCATTTGCATAATTGCATCCATAGAACTGCATATGTTGTGAATAAATTCTCACTCATTTCAACTTTGAATAATTTGACTCTCTTGATAATTGGTTCCTCCCAAAGACTCTTCTGCAACTCCCGTTCATGCCTACCAGGCTTCAGACTCCCTCTTTTCCCCGCCTGCACTGTTGGAGCCCTGGGTTTTCTGGGAGTGCTCAGCACCGTGAGTCTTACTGTTTGATGGAACAGTTGGCAAGATCAGATCCTTTTTGCTTATTTTCTATCATTTTGGAGGCTTTTCTGTAGCAAAGTCAGTGACCAATGAAGTAACTTAAATTCCTATTGAAGAAAAAAAAAAAAACCCTTGATTTAAAAAAAAAAATATTGCCTTGTGTTATTTCCCCCCACATAAGTGCCCTTGAATTCTAAATTGAACCTAAGTGCAAGTTAAGGTACAATTTGTGTATTGTAATGGAATTTGGTTGGCTGTGGACTCTGATTTGCATAATGGGAAATAATGGTATTTAGAATACAGAAGTGAGTGAATGGGAAGGAAGGCAATGCCCTGAAAGCTGCCATACCCCTCCAGGACAAGGGTGTAGTCTATGGCCTAGGTGTCTCCACGTTTTAACCTCTGGGTAAGTGTCAGACCATACTCCTGAAACCGTGTCTGTCAATCTTTAAAGTCTTCAGCACCCCCTCTGTTGCCTTCCTTCCCCAGACACACACATTGAGCAATGCCATGGTAACTGCTTGCTCTGACAATGAGTGGTCTCAGTGAAATACAGTTTTAGTGTTGACGCTGATGATGAAAAAATGTACCTGCATGTTATTAATTGATTCAACAAGAGTTTATTAAGTGTTTGTCTGCTTTGTATCAGGCAGTGTGCCTGGGGAAACAGAGATGAGCAAGATAGACACTATCCTTATATTAATGGAGGTTGTGTGCTGTCATTCATTCATTTGTTTACATTCACTCATTCAACAAATAGAGATGAAGGCCTATTATGTGCCAAGTTCCATTCTAAGCATTGGTGTTAATCAAGGACATAACATCGTAATCCCGTCCTTGTGCTAATATTCTCGTGGTGGAGGCTGACATTAAACAACAAATAAATGTGTAGATACGGCTGGGCGCGGTGGCTCATGCCTGTAATCCTAGCACTTTGGGAGGCCTAGGTGGGCGGATCACCTGAAGTTGGGAGTTTGAGATCAGCCTGACCAACATGGAGAAACCCCATCTCTACTAAAAATACAAAATTAGCGGGGCGTGATGGTACATGCCTGTAATCCCAGCTACTAGGGAGGCTGAAGCAGGAGAATCACTTGAACCTGGGAGGCAGAGGTTGCGGTGAGCCGAGATCGCACCATTGCACTCCAGCCTGGGCAACAAGAGTGAAACTCCATCCAAAAAAAAAAAAAAAAAAAGGAAAAAAAAAAATGTGTAGTTACAAGAAGTAGGAAGTGTCATGAAAGAAAAAGTAGGATGAGAAGATGAGGGTGTTGCATGGTGTTGGACTATGAAGCCTCTCTGAGGAGGACATGTTTACAGAGATTGACCAGATTTCTCCTAGTCTTGATCTAGTTTTGTCAGGGCCTGAGCTTGAGCTAATTTCCTTGTCTGTCTTTTTTTGTTTTTGAATGGGGTCTCCCTCTGTCATGCAGGCTGCTGTGTGTAGTCACATGACCAAGACTCACTGCAGCCTTGAACTCCTGGGCTCCAGCAATCCTTCTGCCTCAGCCTCCTGAGTAGCTGGGACTATAGGCACATGCTACTGTGCCCAGTTAATTTTTTAACTTTTTTGTAGAGATGAAGTCTTGCTATCTTACCCAGGCTGGTCTCCTCATCTGTCTTAAAGGTCTGTCTGCACAACTTGCCAGTTCCAAGTCTTCTCCTCAAATTCTCTTCTTTTGAAAACATTTTTAAAGTTTTTTATTGTTTTATTTAATAGAAATGGAGTCTCACTGTCACCCAGGCTGTGTGAGGAAAGCAGTGTGAATCTCTCCCTTTTAATTTCTGGTGTTGTGAGGAATCATAAAGGGAATAAAAAAAAAGATGAGTGGTCATAGCTCATTGTAACCTTGAATTCCTGGAATCAAGCAATCCTCCCGCCTCAGCCTCCCAAGTAGCTGGGACTGCAGGTGAGTGTCACCATGCCCAACTATATGTATATATCTATATCTATATCTATATCTATATCTATATCTATATCTATATCTATGTCTGTCTCTATAGATATATAGCAGGCTCTCACTATGTTGCCCAGGCTGGTCTTGAACTCCTGGCTTCAAATGATCCTCCAGCTTCGACTCGGGAAGTAGCTGGGACTATAGGTGCTAGCTGCCGCACCTGGCTGGAATTCCCTTCTGCTCTTCCATGACCCTGTTTGCATGTAGGGTACTCAACTTTGTGATTCTGAAGCTTTGGGCTCATCACAGTGGTCCAGGCTTTTTAGAAAACTGCCTCCTTTGCAAAATGGATCAAATCCCAGAGATCAACTTCGCGCCAAGGATGGTGGTTGTTGGCAATCCTTCTCAACTTTGAACATGCTTGTTAACACAGAGATTATGGGGTCCCTTCCCCAGACGCTCTGGTTAAGTGGGTCTGGGCTGAGGGCTGCTGCTGGAGTGGTGTCCACTCTGAGTAGCTCTGGCGTGAGGGAGCTGCTGGTGGTCTTTTTGCTCTGGAGGAGTCTGTGATGGTAGCAAATTACAAAACGCACACCCCTGTGTTCGTTGACCCCAGGGTTTCTCCACCACTGGCCAAGAGGAGGACTTTTGGGAAACAGGAGCTATTTCTTACATTCTTTTGCCTGTAGGACCCATGGTGCACAAAGGAGCTGGTGACAAAAACCTCAGCTGACCTTTCAAAGGTTCTGCTGGGGACCAGGAAGGAAGTTGGGAGAAACTCATTTTCAAGGGGACTTTGTCTGACTGAGGAGAACATTCCAACTGGAAACTTCCATGCCTAACCTCATTTTGACGTGACCAGTACTCACAGCTTCCCATCTGGTAGCTGAGTATGGGCCCGTGGAATGAGTTTCCGGATAGACCTGCTTTTTAGAGAGAGTCCATTTTGTTAGAACCAGGTTAAGAGCCATCAAGGTTTTGAAGCTTATAGGAACGATTTCTACCCTTTAGGACAAACTAAAGCAAACAAAAGCTCTCATAGAAGGGACAGGCTGCAAGCCAGGCACTAGGGTAGATGCAAAGACAGAAGTCTTGGTAAAGTTTCCAAAGTGTTGCCTTTTATGCAGGACACAGGCAAGACAGTGATGAACAGAACACAAATGCAGCCCTCCAGCAGCTCTTGGAGTGGTGGCAGAGGCAGCCGTGGAAACAAACCGGGGAGAGTGAGTCCACAGGGAGGTGAACTGAACACTGTGGGCAGAGTCGGGGTGACTCATCCTGCCAGGAGTGCCAAGGGAGAGAGCTTCACGGGGATGTGATGTCGGCTTTAAGTCTGGAAGGATGAGTTCCGGGAGGGAGAAACCAGAGGCCTGAAGGGGGTGGGGCCCATCGGGTGCAGGAGACTTGGCAGCAAGGAAGAGAAAGTGTGGAGTGTGGCATGTCTGAGGGGGGCAAAGTGGTTTCTTACTGGGGTGAGGAGAGCTTGGTGGGGAGACAGGCTGGTGAGATGGGTGGGGATTCTTCCTTTGCCAGGCCAGTACTGTGGTTCTCGGTGCCCACTGCCTGTCAGTGGGGGGGCCTCCATGGGTACAGAAGCTCCCCTCCCCTCCACAGGCTCTGCTCCAGCGGGTCTCAGGTGACTTCTGTGCACCTGAGCTTCCTAAAGTGCCCCCAAGGATTCCAACGTAGACCACGGTTGAGAGCCACTGCTCAGACAAAAGCATGTGGAAAGTGGGGAACACACAGGTTTTAAACCTCGGAGTGACAAGGTCGGATGCATATTTTGGAAATATCAGTCTGGTGATAGGATAGAGAACAGGGCTGGGGGTGTTGAGGGAGGTTTTGGAGGAAGGATAAGGACTCAGGCAAGTTGAGTGCTATTGTGATAGTTCAGGCAAGTGGTCATAACTTCCTTGGCCTGTGGCAGAAGTGGTGGAGAAGGGGAGGAGGGCCTAGATTGGTGAGATATCCAGGAAGAAGGAATGGGGGGCTTTGAGGAGGATGGGTGGTACAGGCAAGAGATGGGTCTTTTCATGTCAGAGCTTAGAACTGGTTGTTCCTGACAGTGGCTTCCTCTGGGAATAGAGCCCCAGAGTTTATGTTTGTCAAATGAGATCAAAAGCTTTGCGTTTAAAATTTGAATTCTCAGGGATTTCAAGATGATTAAAGCCAGGAAATGCTGAAGGAGCTGAGGAGAAAGATAGAAAATGCCTCCAGAAATTGTGATCACGGAAGGAAAAAGGCCAGGTGTGGTATGTGAAGAGATGTGGACAGGGAACATGCAGACGAAGGGATGGCGTGGCAGAAGGAAAAACAAGTGTAACAGCGAGAAACTCTTGGTGGAATTTAGCCAGCTGATGGAAAAGGCCCTCCATTAATCCCAGCTACTCGGGAGGCTGATGCAGGAGAATGCTGGAACCCAGGAGGCAGAGGTTGCAGTGAGCCGAGATTGAGCCATTGCACTCCAGTCTGGGCAACGAGAGCGAATCTCCGTCTCAAAAAAAAAAAAAAATTATAGGTCATTACCTCAAGCTCATCGCTAGGGTGGTGGAGGGGATCAGGAGGGAGTTTATGTCAATACGAAGCCGATCAATACCGTTGGGACGTTATTGTGCAGCTTAGTGCAAGAGGCTTGCTATATTCAGCATGGCCAGGAGATGGCAGTGTTGTCCTGTCGGGAGCCTCTCATTTCAGCGCCACTTCTCTCTTCTATAAAGAGGAGTTCTGGGGGCTAGGTCCCCACTTTTCTCTTTTCCTGGGTGGTGCTATCTGGTGAGTCAGTCGGTGAGGTCCAGGTTAGTATTGGGCCTGCACTTGGTGGTTTCTTAGGCAGGGTCCAGCAAGCTGGACTAATGCGCAAAAAATAATTGCGAACAACCTTGAGGAGATTGCCTGGTGAGATTGGACTCTATCCCCAGACCCGGCGTAGTGGGCTGCTGGGGAGCTGGGGAGGAAAGGCGGATGGAGGTAGTCAGCCTGATTAAAGGTGAAGGGGAGCACCCCTGGGAGGGATTTCAGGCAGCTCCTAATTTGCAAATGAATTCACTTCTCCAGTTCCTTCTGTCAGTTGGCTGTTTCTGTGGGTGAAATGATTTGAGTTCCAATTCTAATACTATATAAAGAAAGTAGGTTCTCAGGTTAGCCCATAAAACTCTGTTTACTCTACAACATAGATGAGTTGCTGTGTATGTATAATGAAAAATAGAAAAGAATAGTATTGCGGTACTGCAATTTAAATAAAAGAAAGAAACAAAATGGAATGGAAACAGTTCTTTATTTTGGTGAGTGAAGAAAGTTAGGTTTAATTAGAGAAGGAGAAGGAGGCAGATGAGGCTTGCTGTGTGACATATAAAGGAGACATTTGGGCACTTTCAAGGCTTATGGGCAGGCCCTTGATTGTGTTCTGTAAGTTTCCAACTTAAGGGAGATGCGTCTACAAGTTCAACAGTCTTTGAAGAACCAGGATCAGATTGGCCTGGATCTCGATGCCTGGTATGCAGAAGGAACACTGGGGTAGGAGTCTGAAGGTGTGGGTTTCTATTCCAGTTTTGGGTAAACTGGCTTACCTTCTCTGGGCCTCGTTTTCTTCACTTATAAAGTGAGAATCAGGTGAAATAATGAAAGTGGTTTTTATGTATGAAGGCACTCTGGAATGGTAGAATAGTGGGCTTGGATTTTCAGTCTTCATATTTTCATTTAAATCTTTTTCTCTTTTTTCCTTTTGATGGAGATGTCTCTTTAGCAGCTCTAAAGCATATTTGCTATGAACAGTCACCAACAGGATTATTATGGGTTGCAAATGGAAGAAAGAGAAAGGGAAGAGTAAAAGAGAAAGGTTCATAAAGGTTAGTGAAAATCTGTGTACACTGCAGAAAGAGTTTCCTCTGGAGATGACATTGACTGAGCCTGTAGTGGAAGTCAGGAGCAGAGGAAGCCTGGAGGATGCACTAGCCCTCTGTGGAAGACGGGAGCAGGGGATGCGTGGAGTGTGCACCAGCCCTCCATGGAAGTCAGGAGCAGAGAATGCCTGGAGTGCGCACCAGCCTTCCATGGAAGTCGGGAGCAGAGGACGCCGGAGGCGCACTAGCCCTCCATGGAAGACGGGAGCAGAGGACGCATAGAGTGCATTCCAGACCCTGACAGATTTGTGAATTTCACATAAAGCCCCGTGACTCTTTTGCACATTTGATTTGAGAACAGGTGAACTAGCTAGATGGATGTTCTACAGGAAACACTTCTAAGGTGAGTAAGATGTTGACTCACGCTTTCTCCTGATCTGGCCACCAGGTGGTACTGTCACGCTAGGGCGACTTGGTTGTGGGCAGAGGCAGGACAGATAATTAGGCAGCCTCGCCTGTCACATACTGCAAATCAGGAGACCGTAATCCATGCAGTATTGGTAATCCTGTAGATAGTGCAGTATGTGGTGAAATTAGGGAACACATCACGGCATGGGGAATAGAAAATGCAAATTATTTTCAATCCCTATCTCATTCGATTTACCTGCATCATTTGACTCTATGGACTGTTGCTTTCTTCTTGGAAATTTCTTTTCCTTTGACTCCTAGGACACAGCTGTCTCATGATTTTCCTTCAATCCTTAATAATAATAAGTAACATTTATTGGGCACTTAATATAAACCAGGTGCTGTGCTAAATGCTTTATACACACGATCATGTAATGCTCTCTATGAGGTAGTTACTCTCATTAGCTTTATTTAGCAGGTAAGTCTTACAGAGAGATTAAGCCATGGGTCCCAATTACATAACTAGTGAGAGATGGAGTTAGCATCAGGGTTGAGACAACCCTAGTCCTGAGTCCTAGCCCATTGCACCTATGGCCTCCAGAGAGCCCCAATGGCTTCTGAAGGGTCCCCCTGTCTGCCTGCATCACTACTCCAGGGTGCACTTGCACTTTGTAGACTGTGCACCTGGGGCCCTCCTTTCTCAGTTTCTTCCTGTCAAGTCTCTAGACACCTCCTTGGCGATCTCCCCTGGCCTGTCCTGAAGCCAGCCTGGGAGCTTCCTTCTAAGGAAGGAATGACCACACTGTCTTGTGATGGTCTGCTTGCTTGTCTGTGCCCCCATACCAGGTTCTGAGCCCCTCTAGGACAACTTAGTATCACTGGCACCTAGTGTGCTTGGCATATAGTAAACAGTCAGAAATGTTAATCGGATGAGCAGCCTCAAAAGAGGGCTGGAGGTACACAGTCACAGCCATTCCTGAATAAATATAGTGTGGTGTTGCGCACACAGGTGTTTGAAAACACCCCTTTGAGTCTATGACAGACAGAAAGCAGGTTGAAGGGATTTTTTTTTCAGTCTTGTAAACCTGTGACTTTGAATGAGGAAATATTACTAAGGTCAAAGGGCAAGGGGCCAGCGCAGAGTGCTGTGGTGAGCTAAGAATGCTAATGGCGTGATGGCATTGTCCAAATCCATATTATACCCCAAGGCCAGGATGGAGCCGGGGCGGGTGGGGCTGCGGGCATTGAGCACCAGCATCCCCTCAGGTGTGCAGCAGCTGCTCCCCTCCCAGATGGTTTCTGAGTATCAGTTCCTCCTCTTCACTGGAAAGTTTAGCAATGTCCTGGGTGGATGAACAGAGAGCTGAATGAGGAGTCTCTGTTCTCTGGTTGTCATGACTGTGTGGTGATGGGGAAGAGAGCCCAGGAATGAACTCATCTGGAACAACAGATATAATCTGCTTTGGGGGAGATAAGGCAAAGAGTCCACCTGTGCTCTAGGCCTTCCTTCCTAAGCCCTCCTTGAAATCCCGTCAGCATGGGTGTTTTTCCCAGGTGTTTGACCCTGCCCCCAACAAGATCATAGACCTATGCTGTCCAGGATGGCAGCCGCTAGCCACGTGTGGCTACTGAGCACTTGAGTTGTGGCTGGCATGGCCAAGCGCAGTTGCCCATGCCTATAATCCCAGCACTTTGGGAGGCTGAGGCAGGCGGATCACTTGAGGCCAGGAGTTCAAGACCAGCCTGGCCAGTATGGTGAAACCCCATCTCTACTAAAATACAAAAAAAATTAGTTGGACATGGTGTCACATGCCTGTCATCCCAGCTACTCAGGTGGCTGAGACATGAGAATTGCTTGAACTCAGGAGGTGGAAGTTGCAGTGAGCTGAGATCATACCACTGTATTCCAGCCTGGGTGACAGAGCAAGACTCCATCTCAGAAAAAAAAAAAAAAAAATATGGCAGACGTAGCTGAGCTAGTGTACCTTTATTTCATTTCAATGAATTTAAAGTCACATGTGGCTAGTGGTACCATACTGAACCATATTGGACAGTGTACACACACATACACACATACACACGCAGATACACACATATTTTTTGCCCTAGTGGCTACTATAGAGGTTTTTCTTCCCAACACTGGATTTAACTCAAAGATCCATTTTTCCTTAGGTTTTTGCTATTTCCCCCCTTTTCCTTTAAGAAGCCATTGATGGACCTCATTGACGGAAAGTTCTCTAAGTGTTGCCAAGGAACATCAGTGTATTTTTCCTGTAGCTGGCACCTCTGGGGGAGTCTGGTCTCCAAGGCCATCTGTTTTGCAAGCAAGGGTGAGACAGCCACATTCCTGGTCCTCAGACCTATGACTCTACCATGGTGAAGGCAGTGACTGGGGAGGGCTGGGACATTTATGTCACAGAAAGAGTCCCTGCATTGATCATTTCTGAGTGTTGTCTGAGTGGGGGTAATACCTAATGTTGAGAAAGTAACCATCTGACTCCATCAAGACTTTTCATTTTCAAAGTATTTTATTTAAATAAATTTTTCTTTTGTGTGTGTTTGAATTTTACAGAAAAAAAAAATACTGACAAATACTATACAGCTTGGACCATTTGTATTTTTCTTGGAAAGGTGACTGCCATTTTTCTACCTTTCTCCCTCCCTGCTCCCCCCCAAGAAATAAAAACATGGAATCCATCGAGCAATGGGGAAAGGCCGCCTCTGGCTGCCGGCCGGAGAAGTCCAGGCCTAGGGGATCTCTTTCTCGAGCCTGTGCTGGTCTAGGAAGCCTCTTCTTTAGGAATCCTTTTTTTGTCCCCCGTGAACTTAACCTCCCCAGATGAGTCAAGCAGTCTCTGGTTCTGAGGTCCAGTGGCAGTTCAGGGACAGAGGCTGGAAAGAGTGAAAATGGAGAGGAATAAAGGGCTGGGGCTGGCCTGGTGCAGGCAGAAGAGGGAATCAGAGAAGCATAAAACACGGAGAAAAAGATGAGAAGGAAGTGGAAAGAAGAGAGCGGACACCAACGAAAGGCCTTAGGCTCCTTTCATGCACCTGTTTATTTAACAAAAGGCCAATCCTGCGCTGGGACTCCTCTAGCTACACCACGAAATGTTGTCAGGGGAGGCTGTGGTGAGGAAAAGAGAGGCCCCATTCTGGGTTTGGCTCTTCTGAGTCATAGGCTGTGGAAGTGACTGAGAAGTGAGGTCCTGGGTGTTTCATGCCTGGCGTGACAGCAAGTCCATTGGATTAGAAGACAGCAGGGACACTGTGCCTGGAGATAGAGGCCTTGTCATGGCAATGACAACTGACTGCTGTCTTAATTCAAAGGAGCAAGCAGTTGCCATGGAAACCATGTTACTTGTATGGTCCCGGATCCTGGTGATCCGCCCTCCTAGATCATATCTGACACCACGTCTCAGCTGTCAGCCTCCACGTCTCCCCAGCCATCCATTTTAGGGGGACTGAGAGGTGGAGACAGGAAGGGCAGCTTGTCCTGGTGAGCAGTGGGAGATGTGGGGAGACATCTCCCACATCCCTGGGTTTGGTGCAGGCAGATGGCAAGTCATTCTGTTATGTGAAGGGCACAGCCAGAGGCTCCATGAAAAACTCTCTATATGACAAGGGGATAGAGAACCAGAGTGCTGCTTTCTCTGGTCAAAGGGGTTGATGAGTGGGAGGCCTGAGCGCTCAGGCAGTTTACGGCCATATACGGTGAGAGGGCAAATGCGACTGGCTATAAAATATATGCAGGTTTGAATGATGATTCACAGGGGTCATCTGTTAGAAAACCCTGGTGCAAGGGTCACCACTAAATGCCCACCCTCCACGGGCCTAAAGTACACCTGGAGGGCAGGTGAGTACCAGGCAGCCCAAATAAGCAAATAGAATATATCTTTCCTTTAATGCAATCTTATAGAATTTAGTTTTTTGCTACTATAAATATCATAGTTTAGCTACGTTATTAATTAGATAGCAATTTTGCCACTGTGTAGAATAGCTTCCTTGGGAAAATACTTCAAGAGAGCTTCCCAGCATATTTGCAAATAAACTTCTAGAGCACAACTTGCTCCCAAGGAGTGAATTGTCCATCTTTGCAATACAGTCACAATACAATCAAAATACCAACCAGTTCATCCTATAAGTGGATTAACTCTGCTTCCCAACCTCTCTCTGGTGGGGAAAGCCCTCCTCAGCTCACTGTGGATCTAATATACATGTCCTCACATACCTCAGGGCACACATGTCACCTACATGTACCCACCTGCAGCATTAAACACCCAATTTCATCCATTGCAGCAATTAGTGGGCTCACTTAGAAGAGAAGATCACTTGGGGAGAATTGGTGAGGTATTACAAGCTTACCCTTAACAACATCATATATCCAACAGTAACCACAGACAGTTATAAGTACTTACTGTGTGCAAGGCACTTGCCTGAGCTTCAAGATAAACATAAGTAAAGCTCTTTATAGCTTCATCCTACTTTCATTTAAACTCCATTACCTCTGCATCCCGCCTGTGCCATACCATGCACGCATTACAACCTTATGACATCACTTCCAGTGTTGCCTTCTGTGAGACTGTCCTGATGATTGTCTAGTTCCTTCCCTGCTGGAAACTTTGGTTATATAGGAGATACCTAGCTCAGGTGTAGCATCTCCTTACCCTTTCCATCTGTAAAACATACATTGCACAGGTACCCAATTGCAGTCCACTGACATAAATGAGTGGGCTTCCACAGCTTTCTAGCAGTTACTACCAAGAGCTGTTTGTGGAGAAAGGCACTTTGCTGAGTGGTTTCGGGGGGTCATGTTTCAAAGAGAGGTCTTGGACCACATTAAACACCTCTCAGTGGCAATGAGGACGGACCTTGTCATGAGTTACAAGAAAAGAGCTTTCAATGAATTTTGAACCATGACACTTTAAATATCTTGGCACAGGTGAGGCGTCAGAGGCACATAAACTTGGTGTGTCTGTATCAAGACATACAGGGGTGGGGACTGTAGCAGGTTGCTGGAATGTCCAATTATGAGTACTTCCAGTAAAATTTATGTGTAGAGATAGAAATAGGAAAGCATGCATATCTAACCTGAGTGGCTTATGGAATAGATGGTGTATGGGGGCCTTGCTGGTTATGAATTTGTATATATGTGTCTGAATCTGGCAAGGCTTTCCCGTGAGACATTTTTGTGATTATAGATAATGTACTTCCCTGAACAAAGTACATAGCCAATGACCATTTGATGAGCAGAATATACTTGCCCATGTACCTGTTGCCTGAATTTGTGTGTGTGTGTGTTATGTGCATGTGCACACACTTGGAAACCATATCAAGATGTATGGATAAATGTTCTTTGTGCTTTTGCATATGGGGTATGCCAGAGACAGGTGGGAGGCATGCCTGGGTCTGCAGTAAGGAGCATTGCTATTGGACACATAGCTGCCAAGACAGTATCCAAGAATTGTCCACGTGGTCCCTGGGACTGCCCTCCACCGGGACACTTAGTCTGAGGTTTGTTCCTTGGTTGAGTAGTTACTCTGTGGACAAAGTGCATCATTTCAGGGGTTCCTGAAATGTCTGTGTGTGGTCAGAAGGAGACTTAGCCCCAGAAAGGAAACACCTCTGCTTCCTGCCTAACTAAACAGGCAGTGATGGTCTCTTCTCCATCTGGAGAAGTTTGGGTTGAGCAGAGATCCAGAGGTCTTCTTCATCCTTCTTCTTCTTCTTTTTCTTCTTGTTCTTCTCTGGCTGCTGGCTCCTCTTGCCTGGTGGGCTCCAGCAGCAATGGCAACACATGAAGAGGAGTGTGATGATCACCAAGAGTGGCAGGCCCAGGAGGACTCCCAGGCAGATGGTGTTGTAGATGCCTTCTTGGTGTTTGGTCAAGATGGTGTCCCAGATAGAGCTGAAGAAGGCGCTGATTCTCTCCATGGTGCTTGGCTAGATTAGGGCCAGAGAACCCTCTCGGCTTACTAGCAGGTCCTGGGCTCAAAAGGATGCAACCTTGACCACTTGTAATTTATTCCTCTTCCAGCTTTGGGTTTGGGCATGCCACTGACAGCACCTGAAGGATTAAAACAGACAACTGAAGAGAAATGCAGAGGGACTGGTCTACAATTTTAATAGTTTCATAGATTTTAGGCTTAGGAAAGGGGAAGGAATTGAAGATTTCCAGGGTTCAGTAAACTTGCATTGAGACTCAATAAACAAGATAAATGCATGCATGTAATCAATAAGCATCAACTAATTCTTGCTATGTACACACATTATATTGGGCTTAGGATATAAAAATGAATAGTATATCAGGTCTGGCACGTAGGAAGTTCTCAGCAGTTGTGGAATAAATGAATCAATGTGTGTGTTCAGTGTTCTGATGAGGGGTTGCTTCCCTGAACCCTTCTGCAACAGCAGTTCTCAATCTTTTTTCCACTGCAGCTCAACTGACAGATGTTGAACACACACTCCCCATGGGACAGATCTGTATGTAACCTGTTATTAACATAACTTGCCATTTTGAAAGCTTATTGAAGCTTAAGCACAAGGTGAGATGTCTACGTCTTGCTGTTTGTAGTAGGGGACTTGGGTCTCCTCTGGGCTAAGAGGTCATCACTCCTCATCCTGCCCCATGCCTGCTTTCCTTGCTGTCCCCTCATGATCTCTTCCCTACTCCATGTCTCCTCCCCTCCTTACATCCCATTCCTGTGCCTGAAAAGTTCGCTCCTTCCAAGGCTGAGAGAACCAGAGGTGACTGTTTGCTGCCTTTCCACTTTCTACCTTCCTCTCCCTCATTACCCTTGTCTCTGTTTTCTATTCCTCGACCAAATACTCCAAAGTCTCCTGCTCTCTTTCTTCTCCATGGGAAAGGAGTCCTTGCAGGCTGCTTAGTGATGGTGCTTAGAAACCAGGGTGAGGTTCCTGGGTGCCTCCCTGCTCCTGTTCTGAACTCAGCATATAGCTGGGGCCATTCTCCTGGTTGCTTGTACAGAGCTGCCCCTCTTCCCTGATCACCCCTCCACATATATCTTAAAGCTCAGCTCTGAAGTATAAGGTCTTAAGAGGCTGCCTTCAGTTCTGGAATTACAAGTTCCTGTGTACAAACAAGACTTCAAGGACAGGCATGATTCAAGGAAATTTAAGAGGCCTGTTGGTGTAAGACATTCCCCAGGACCCAAATATTAAGGAGTGGTTGATTTTCAGGATGGACACTCTAGAGATCATCCCAACCAACTCTTTCACTTAAGTATGAAGAATCTGAGGTCCAGAGCAGTGAGGTGACATGTCTGAGGCCATGGAGACCCACCCAGGCCACACAAGCCCACCCAGACCCACCCAGACCTCGACAATGGGTTCAGCACTCTCCCCAGGCTGCCAGGCAAGCAGAGGAACAAAGGATGATAATGATGTCACTTTATACTTGCATTTCACTTGATACTTTTCTAATCATTTTCATCTGCATTTAGTCTTCTGTGTGAGGAACAGGATGGTGCTGTGCCTATGGATGGGAACACTGGGGAGCTAAGCCTGGAATTCAAGATCAGCTCAGGCTTCGTTGCATACATGTGCAGCCCTCCTGGGTGATGTTTTCTACCTGATGCCCCAGCAATTGTCCTCAGAGGTCTAATTCCTTGGATAGCATGCTCTATCAATGTCTCATGATCCCAGTGCCCGTGTGCCCATCTAAGCCCCAGCTGACCTCAGTCCTGGTCTGCTGGCACATAATCCCACCCTCTCATGACATTATTTACATAGTTTTTGCAAGTGTAGAAATTGGCACCTACTACTGAGCCGTTTGGTCCATGGAGCCTAAAGAAATGCTATAGGATGACAATAATAACTTTAGCCAACTTTTAGTTAGCACTAATTATATACCAGGCACTGTTCTAGGCACTCTATTAACTCATTCATCTTCATGACACCCTTATGAAGTAGGAACTGTGATTCCCCCATCCTGCAGCTGAAGAGATGGAGGCTCAGGCCACACAGTGAGTGAGTGCCAGAGCCGGTCTCCCTCATTCTGGAGAGTTTGGCTCCAGATCCCCAAGGAGTGAGCTGTTCACAGGCGTTACTCTGTGGCCTCCTATTCCTTTGTGTGGAATTAACCCATTTTTGGCAAGCAGCCCAGGATTTACAGAATCTTACAATATTTGGCTATTCCCCAGATTGACTTAAATGCTTATCCCAGTCTATTATAAGAAAGATTGCAAAAAGACTTATTTCTCATTGTTAAATATTTCCCAAATGCACGAAGATACATAAAATAAAAACCAAGTCCTGCCCAAGTGCAGGTTTATAGAAAGCATATGGCTGCCCGAACTTAAACTCAACATGCAACAAAGGAAAGTATCCTGAGGAGTCATGTCCTCTCGTCCAAGGCTCTGCTCAAGCCCCAGCCCCTCTGAGGCCTAGGAACAGCCCATGCCATGGATCTGCCCACACACCATCAAGCTGCCAGGTTCTCTGTAGAGAAAAGCAGCCCTTAGCATGCTTCTAAGCCCTGGTGACACTGTATCTCAGGCCACTCATCTCTTTTCTGGATTTTCCTTCTCCCTTTGCCATGACCTTTGCTTTTACCTCAGTCTTGGGTGGGTTTTTGACCCTGTCTGTTGGGATCTTTCTGCTCTGTTGTGGAAAGGCTTTGGGTGCTTTTCTCTAATTTGATCCTACTCACAGCTTTCCTGATTCATGTTAGATAACACCACCACCACAAATGTTCACCAACTATTCTGTGCCAGGGGTCGTGCTGTTCCTGCAGGGAGCAGACAGGTATCAGGGGCCCCTCTGCATTCAGCCAGCGAGGAAGGAGGGCAAGCCCATGGAGAACATCAGGGCAGTTTTCATGAAGGTGGAGCCACTTGGGGAAGACCTTGAAGATGCGTGGTATTTTGACAGAGAAATATAAGTGAAAAGGATGTTCAAACATTCCAGGCAGAGAAACTTCTAGAACATGAGCAGGAGAATAGGGTGTCTTCTGGTGAGCCTGGAGCTCAGGGTGGGAGAAGAGAGGATGAGAAGGGACGCTAGGAGGTAGGCATGGCCAGGGTAGAGAGGCCGTCATAGGGTTTGCGCTTATTTGGGGGCTTTACAACAGGAGAATGTTGTGATCAGAGTTGCCTTTCAGGAAAAGATAACAAGATCTGAAGAACTCTGAAAAATGTGTTAAGAAGGTTCTTTAAAACTCCTTATCCGTTTATCAAACATTCACTGAGCACCTAATATGTTGCATGCACTGTTCGGTGTTGAGGATTCAATAGTGAATGACAAAGATTTGGTTTCGGACATCGGGGAGCCTCGACCATTCCAGGGGAGTTATTACTATTGATAGATCAAGTCATAAAAGCCAAGTATAATAAGCAAATTCCAAACTAGATTGCTTAGTTGGCTGAAGTAGAAGCATGCATTTGAATTATATGTTTATCTCAACGTCTCGGGCCCTCCCACCCTTCCCAACTTTTGCCTTAAACTCATCCATCCCTTGGCACCTAAAATGGCCTTCGAATAAATAGATTTCTTTTCAAGCTAAAGCTAAGTCAATAATTCACTTCTGGATTCCTAAGGGACTTATTTGAGGCTGCTCTCCATACAGCCAAAGAGTATTCATTAACATTTGGGAAGCCAGTCTGGGGAAAATTCGATTAAAAGGTATTCTTTATATTTTTTAATCTAAGAATTCTTTTCTAGGCACCCCCCAGGTTACTTGCTGAGCTCTGCTAATCTATAGCGTTTCATTAGTATTTATGAGTCTTGCATTATTAGCATTTCCAGAAAACAATCAAATATCTCCTTAGTGGCATGAATTAAAAGTGAGAACTTCCATGGAATGCAAAAGAAGACACACTTCGGCCCCTGGAAGTACATTCTAGCCTTTTGTTGGCTTTTGAATAGCACTGACACGGTTTAAAAAGTAATTCATCTGTTTTTGTAAGACCAACAATAGATGCCAACCAACCTCATCTGTCTGATTGTGGCTGTGGGGGTGGGTGAGAGGAGAGAGAAGAGGGGAAAAGTTACTTTCAATTTCTTTGAAACCAAATATTATTTACCTCTATATCCTCTGTCACAAGCTTCTATCCACCCACGTATGAGGTGTCAATGGGAAACAGTGATCCCAGAGCCAGAAGGTCTGGTTTTGTGCCTTGGGTCAACCTGCATGACCTTGGCGAGTTACCAGACCTCAGCTACAAAATGAAGCTAATGAGCTTCCCTCATAATGACATTGTGGGGATCAAAAGGGTTCAATATATTTAATGCATTCTGTAAAATGTAAAATATCTACACAAATATAATCCATAAAAAGTGAGTTATCTTGAAATAACAATGGACTAATTCTAGTGCTGGGCTTTTCTTCCTCCTTCCTCACCTCCAAGTCAATCCCTATTGCCAAAGAATCATGGGCCCCGACCTCACTGAAATGAAAAGGTCTTCACAAGTAATCTCCCTGATATGGTTGTTCTGTAGGTCTGTGGCTGTTGCTCTAGACTCTGGCATCCAGAAATAGGATGGAGAGGGGTTGCTTGGGGGAACATTTGAAGGCACCTGGAGGATTGCTGAGTTCATAGGTGAGGTGGAGGAGAACAGCTGGCCATCTACAGGCCCCAGCCTCCCTCCCAGGCTTTGGGACCCTTGGAAGTGTTACAGGCGTGGGTCATTCCACAGGGAGGTCTGCTTCAATCTCTGAGAGCCAAAAGCTACTGCAGGCTATATTCAGGGCTGGCCCTGACACTACTGTTCTTTCTGGTGCTCTCCAAGAAGGGAGCAGGACATTCTATTCTGCATCAGCCTCTCATTGTTCTTGTTTGTTAGATAAAACAATACATGTAAAGCTCTAGAACAGTGTCTGTGAGACAGTAAATACTTTCTGGAAAGGTTAATAATAAGGATCACATTGGCACCCAATTAGAATCCCTGAGACCAACTCCAGAGTGACCTCCAAATGGTACAAATCGTCACCCTTCTTGTAGGGGGAGGTGGGAGGTTCAGTTCTCTATGAGAACCTTAAGAGGCCCCTCTTCTGCAGCTGCTGACCCCTGGATTTGTGTGGGGGGCCATTTTATAACTGACAGTTGGGAGCAAAGACCTCCCCTTGGGCCTTTGCTCAGACGGCTCCATTGAGCTTTCTGCCTTGGGTTGCGCTGATCACTGTGCTTGCTTTAGCTCCTCTGCCCAGGATCGCAGGTGACAGCAAGATGGACTGTTGGCTATGAAGAGTCATTTAAGCAGTTAAAAATACAGATTCCTGCATCCTGCTCCTGGAGACCCTGATTCAGTCGGGTCTAGGATGGACCCAGGAATTTATGTTTGTAGCAAGCAGCCCGAGTGTTTCTGGACAATTGTCAGGTTTGAGAACCATTGCATAAGCAAGTTGAGCAGCCGACCTTCATTTATGAGCACAGGAGCCATGTGCTAAATGAGGGAATGAATCATGGGTGAGGAGAGGGAGGAAGAAGTTTACCTCCACACACAGCAGCACAATGGCCAGCTTGGGGAGCCTCCTTCCACGTTACTTCTTCTTCTGTGTGGTCAGGGGATCTCAGCCAGAACTGCTTTTCTAGAGGTCACGTTCAACGTAGTAAACAATCGCTGAACACCAGCCCTGTGCATTCAGATCCTGATCACTGCCCAGTCTAGCAAGGGGGAGAAAGAAAAATAGAAGTATAGTTTGATGAGTTCTGTGGTCAAGTTCTGTGTAGGGGGGACATGGGAGCAGCATGGCAGAAGCAGCCAGCAGTCCTGCCTGGAGAGGGTTGAAGGAAGGTGATGAAAAGAAATGACCATCAGGGTGAGTGTCTGAGCAGGAATCACGCAGTGTCTAATTACTCAGCACCTACTCCTGCTGGGAACTGTGTATCCAGAACAAACAAACCAGATCCCTGTCCTTTCTGTGCTCCAAGTCTAGTGTGGGAACCAAACCAAACATTCATCAAAGAACCATACAGGCAGGTGTGAAAGTGTAATTATGGTGAGTGTCATGAATGAGACCCCATGATGCTACGAAAGGGGTAACAGGGAGGTTAGGAAGGGTCTGATGAGGGATGACTGAGCTAAGATCTGAATGACAAAAACAGCAAACACACGGCTAGGGTGTCTGAAAAATCTTGAAACACAAAATAAACTTATTTTAAAGCATTTCCAAGTAATATGCTTGATAGGCTTTTCTTCAATCCTCCAGTACCTTTTCAGGTGAAGTTCTCTACATTTAAAAAAATGAGTTCAATTGTTAATACACTGTGAAGTGTCCCCCCCAAAGTCTAGAAACATAGGCAAATAATATGTGTATTGTGCTTTTTATTAGATGAACAAATTAGACCCATTGCTGTCCCTGAAAACGACCCGAAGGGACAGTGTAGCTAACAGCAGCAGTGGTGGGGTGAGCGTGGATGGCGGGACCCATGAATGGCAGCCCCACACCACAGGACCTTGTAAGCCACGTGGAGGGCTAGAGTTTGCTGTGAGAGCCACGGGGTTTAAAGCAAGGAGGGGACATAATTGATGTGTATTTCATAAAGAACACTCTCTCTGAGGTGTGAGAGGACAGATGGGAGAGGGTGTAGGGGGAGGAAATGATCACAGTTGTCCAGGGAAACTGACCGCTGGGCCAAGGGTGATGGTGGCCGGAAAGGGTGGGATGATGGTGTAGCTCAGGTGTTTTCCAGTAGATGTGGGTGGGAGAACTCTCAGGCAGAGGGACACGAGAGGAGGTGTCCCTGGGTGTGCCCAACTTTCCTTCTTCTAACCCTAGTCTCCTATGAGGGCTCTGAGTCTGGACTGTATACGGATATTCTTTTCTTTTTTCTTTCCAAAACAGGAAAATCATCAGTCTCTACCTGACTCCTCACCATCTTTCCTGGGAGTTTAAAACATCTTATTCAACCCCAGGCCTCTCCACCCTGCCTGTCGAAACCTTGCCCCAGCCCTCAAACCATACTGCCTTGCAAAATCCCTGTGGTTACGATAATATCACACACTTCAGAAACCAAGGATCTCTGGCAGCGAGGGCATGAAGTGGAACCTCAGTCAGTAGTTATTAACTCGGCTGTTCTGGATATATATTTGCTTGATGGTTCTCACCTTGCTAACCTGGCATGCTCAGGTGCCCTCAAATAGATGTAAGTACTGTTTTTACAAAAATGGTCTGATCACAGTAAATGATCTGCTTGCAGAATGTTACATTTACTACTTAGACCCAGCTCTAGGCATTCTGAAACAGGTATCTACATTTTCCCCAATTTAATGAATTGCTTCAAATAACTAGTCCTAACACAAAGTCGGAAGCTCTTTTTTCCCCCAAGAGTATATATGATGTGTAACTAGATATTGAGTATTAAAGGAAAATAGATAGAATTTTCCCTCAGAATTGATGTTACAATTATGGTTGCAATTTTGAACAAAAGCATAAATAGAGCATCAATAGAAAAATGATTAAGGCACCATGGTTATTTAATAAAATGATGCTTTATCGTGTAAACATTCTGGATTAGAAGACTCCTGAAACGGGCCATCTGGTTGATTACCTTACTTTACTGATGGGAAATCTGGGACCAAAGAGACTGCATCTTGCGGGAGATTACTCAGCTAGTGGCTAGTACAGCCAGGGCCAGAACCAATGTCTTCTGAGGCCCAGGTTACCTTTCTGCCAGGTCTCTTCTACAAACATCCTTAAAAATAAGCATTGACACAGTGCTTTGCAAGATGCCCACCATATTCTCTTTCTGAGCACAAGTATGACCATACTTCTCAGCCCCTTACGTCTCTGTGGGGCCATGTGACTGAGTTCCAGCCAAGGAAACGTGGCTCCCGATATCTTCTCATGGGACCTCCCTGTTCTCTCTCTGCTTGCTCATTGGCTGGCCAGATGCAGAGCATCCAGGGGAGGACTCCAAGAGCCCTGGGGATGGCAGAGATGGGAGGTGTTCCTGAATGACTGCGTGGAGCAGGGCACCCCTGCTGACCACAGTGAAAAATGAAATGGGTTAGAATAAACTTTTGTTGGGTGAAGCCACTGAGATTTGGGGATTTTCTGTTATAGCAGTTAGCCTATCCTGCCTAATACAAGTGACAAAAAAGCTAGTTGCTAATGATTATTAATTACCATTGCATATATAATCCCTAGAATGATTTGCTTATAACAAATGTGCAATGTGTTCAACAACTCTTCTATAGGGCAACTTTGGCCCAAGAGGGGTTTACCTTAGTGCTTTTGAGCAGTGGTTCGGGGACCAGATATCCTGGGTCCAAATTCCGGCTCTCCCACTCACTAGCTGTATCATATCAGGCAGGTTAACCTCTCTCTGGGGCTCTGTTTTCTCATTTGTAGAATGGCATTGACAATAATAGGATGTTGTGAGAATGAAATGAGTCAGTAGAAGTAGCATGCCTCAGAGCCTTGCCTGGCAATAAAAGTTAGTCCTGATTGTTTGATCCCAAACAAATAGGCTGGCCAAAGTAAACATCCCTTGACTCCTTAGCTAATGATGGTTTTGTTTGTCTTTTTCAAATGTGAGATGGTTCTGGAGTCATGACTTTGATTATGTAGGTCTCCTTTACAAGGCATTTTCTCTTTTCTCTAGTTTTCCTGCGGTAGACTAAATTAGTTCATTCATCATTCTCTTTCAGGGAGACCATTTCAGAATGAAAATATGGATAAGCATCACTCAGGAGCTGAATTATAAGGGTTTAGATATAATTCCTTCCCCTCTCTGCAAGGCTCTCCCAAGACTGTGTGGAGTAGGACACAGAAGCCTCCTTCCTTACCCCCACACCAAACTGCCCTTTCGTCTTTTCCTACTTTCCCTTCTTTCCTTCCCCCAATGTATTTAATGAGCTCCTAGGATGTGTCAGTTCTTGTCCTGGTACCGTGGGTATAGTCATGCATAAGACGGACATTTTGTTTGTGCACTTCTTGTTATGTCTCTTCTCCAGGTAGAAAGTATACATGTTAGTGCAATAAAGGAAATAATTGGAGTGGCCTCTGCAGAGGTGACTCTGAACTGAGATCTCGGGGTGCTGAGGACCAAGTGTGCACAGCGCTAAGGGCAGGACCTTGGGTAGCAGGAACATTAAGGGTGAGAGCTCTGAAGTGGGAAAGAGCAGGCACATCCGTGAGAGAGGGCAGCCAGTGCGGCTGAACCATGGTGAGCATCGTAAGTAAAGCAGGGCTTGAGCGAGGGGGGACTTGGGCCCTGTGGGTACGGAAAGGCACAGAAAGGTGCCTTCCGCTTTATCCCCATTGTTACCTCATTTGTCCAGGTCTTCAAATGACCTCTAGTTTTTCCTTCTTTCAATTCACCTTTCTAAAATCTGGATGTAACGTGCACTCCCTGCGCACCCCTCGCTTGGCTGCTCACCACTTGTATGATAATCACACCTCCTTAGCAAGGAGGACTCGCTGATGATCCGACTCTCCTATTACCCCAGCCTTGCCTTCCTCCACCACCCCCACCACCCTAGCTGTTTATCACATCATAGGTGCTAATCAACATGGGACAAATAAATGAATTCCTTCAACACTTAGACTAAGCTTCTCTCCTCGGCTTTACCTCCCCACCCCTACCTCATCAGCTGGTCCTACCTGCTTTCTCTTTGTGTCCTGACTCCATTCACTTCCCACCATTTCCATGGTGAGGCCATTGCTACCTCTCACCTGGGTTACTGCAGCAGCTTCTAACCAATCTCTCTGGTTTTGCTCCTCCCTCCCTGCAGCCTGTTCTCCCCACTAGAGCCAGATCATATCACCCCCAGGCCCTGCTCACGCCTCATGGCTTCCTGTCACTAGAAGGATGACATCTAAACTCTTTCTCATATCCCCAGGCCCTGCCATCATCTGGCCCCTGCCTCCTCTGGACCTCATCTGGTATTCTCTTCTCTCCCATTCACTGTGGGCTAGACGCACCTACTCCTGGACTGTCAGCTTGCTCAGGACCCTATTTGTCCCTTTGCCTGGTATGGTTTTCCTCAGATCTTGGCGTGATTGCTTCACAACAATTGTGTCAGCTCAAATACATATTCATACAAATTTCCTCCTGCGTTACCTCATCAGGAGGCCTTTTCTAATGGAGTATGGTAATCTAATGTCGCCCAACCCCCAGCCAACCCCTATCTCACCATCCTGCCCTACTGCCTTGGTGATACTCCTCACTTTGAAATTTCTCAGTCACTTACAATGCTGCTGTCACACTAGTTTCCACGTTTACTGCCTGTCTTCCTCCATTAGAATATAAGCTCCATGAGAGCAGGGCCCTGCCTGTCCTGTTCTGTTTGTATGCCCAGAGTCTGGCATGTAGCTGAATGAATGAACGAATGAATGAATGAATAAGTGAAGTTAATTCAAGGGTTCTAAAAAACTGAGATCTTGAATAATCATCTGTCAGGCAAACCAGGTCACTGGGGAGAAAGAGTAGAAGCACCAAAGGGCATAGAAAAGTGACCATCAGTCACACTGTGGCTGGACTTTGATGATAATTACCCACCTGCAGATTGTGCTGTCCAGCCAGATCTTCCAGCCACGAAAACTCACTGGAGGGAGAAATAATGATCAAGAAAATCTCCTATCACTGAGAGCAGTAGAAAGTGGGGGCAGGGGTGAGTGTTTTATCAGCTCCTAAATAATCACCTACCTTCCTTTTGC